TCAAAGCTAGGAGTCAGGGTTTGCAGAGCAAGACAGAAACTAGGACTGGAGTAGGAACAGGTTCAGTTTGAAGCAAAGACCACTACAGGAAGCATATCTCGTGCAGGTGTGGTATAGAACATATCGAACACCTGCTGTTGCTACAAAGCTTAAATGATTATTTGCTGGTTCTCCTGTCCAATCAGGAGGCATGGTCACTTAGCTCAAGCTTACTGAACTCAGTCAAGCTCACTGAGTTGCTAGGCAACTACACTAAGAGACAGCTGAGTTCTTGATAATTGCTCTGAAATGTAATTTGAGAGTCCCATATTTACATTTTCAGGTTCAGGCTGAGATTAAGCAGTGGATGGAATACTTATCATGAATGTATAATTCCCAGAGCAGGAAAGACATCTGCCATTCACATTGATTAAGGGCATAAAACCATTGCACAAAGAACAATAATGAAAAACCTAACAAGAAGGTGAAGAAAGGTTCTTCACAAAAAGTTTGAGTCTGAAGCTCAAGATCAGTAGTGGATTGGACATAGTACTAGTTTGTTTTTACTGTCCCAGGCAATAAAAAGGAACAAAGGGATAAAGCAGCTGCTCTACCATTTATGCCTTTGCATGAGAGTATGAGGAGACACAGGGCATATGTTCAGCCTTGAAAGACACTGTTATTCAAAAAATTCTGCATATGCACAAGAGGCTCATGCGTAATTACAGTGGGATCCACAGTGATACATACTTGAAGATTATTTTTCAAACAACAGAACATATCATTTGCATGTTACTTGGTTTCGTTTAGCCTACTTATTTTATTCTCTCTCTCATCCATTTCTGGAATATCTGCCAATCCATAATTTCCTTCTTCACTATCTGAAGAAACTGATAGGCTGCCAAGGGGCTCTGAAAGAAGGAAACTTGAACATGGACCCATTGAGGATGTTGGTCTGGACAGGAAAAGTCCTTCTCCTCCTTCACCTGGATGCTATTTTAGCCTAACTTTCAAAACAGATAGTGTAATTAATATAATACATAACACTACTTAAGTGACAGTAAAGTAGTAGCCTTATTGTTTAAGTTTATCAATTCATTTTTAACTAATTCCCTGGTATTATGTTTATATTTATAATGTACACTATTCTAGTCTACTTGGTAAAAAATAAGTTACACCATGAACAGTAAATATAGGAAAATTTATTTGAATTAACCTTTTAGATACAAAACCAGAGTTTCATTACAAGTTATAAACTACAGAAACTTGTTTATCATGACTATTTCACACGTACAGTTTTAACACAAAATTAGATGTTTGTTTTACTATTCTAAATGGTAACAAGTTTACTACCATCTTAATGTCTATGAATTTGTTTAAACATGCATTTCTGTACATCAACAGCACCTTACTGAACAAGGCTGCAGTAACCAGATTAAATGTACCTGGAATACGTTATCAAAGAAAACATTCTTCCAATTAGCTAAAATCCTGCATGTTAATAAAGAACAAAACAAACTGTATGTCACAGTCAGCTTTAGTTTTATCATGCTTCAATTTCCAAAAAAATCAAAATACTCAGAAACTTTATTATGAAACACATAAAGAGCATTCTGTTTACATTTAACGTATACATTTATTATTAACTGCAGCTAATTCTGATGGAAAGAGGCTATGGTATAAAATAACAGTATGGCTCTTTAAAGCTATCATTTTAAATATATTTTAAAATATGAATATCTCAAAAGGTCCATGAAAGCCAAAAGAGACCTGTACCTTTTGTTATGTTTTAAATAAATTATTTTGTATTTACTTTAAAATGAGAGCCACAGATAGCTAAGCATGATAAGTCTTAACCACATTTCACACTTTTTTGTATGCACAACAGGTTCTAGTTTTCTGATAGTGTACAGATGTATCATTAAAACATCTTTATTATGTTTTACATTTCTTTAAAAATGACTTGTTCAATGTTTGTTTTCTTTACTTAAATAGCACACTGTCATGAAGCGAAGAAAGTTTTAATCCAGGTGAGCGGAAATTACTGCATTACTTAATCTTTAACATATTTCTATAAACCTATTTTACAAGAAAGGCGCATCCTTGAAACTTCCTACATTTTAAAACTATGCTAACATACAAATAAAGCCATGTGTTCGGTTAGTTTTTATTAAATTGAGACTGGAATGCAGTTTGTTCACTAAGGGTACGTCGACACTTGCACCCTAGTTAGAACTAGAGATGCAAATGTAGGCGACCGAAATTGCTAATGAAGTGAGGATTTAAATATCCCGCACTTCATTAGCATGATCTCGCCGGCGCATTACTCCGCTAAACAGCTGTTCTGAAAGTGAAATGAGGAGTAATGTCAAAAAATGAGGAGTAACGTTAGTTCGAACCAGAGGTTTGGTTCGAACTAATGCGTCCCAGCGCGCACTTTCACTTTCGGAACAGCTGCTGAGCGGAGTAACGCTCCAGCGAGATCATGCTAATGAAGCACGGGATATTTAAATCCCCACTTCATTAGCAATTTTGGTCGCCTACATTTGCATCCTTAGTTCGAACTAGGGTGCAAGTGTAGACGTACCCTAACATAACAGTCAAAGAATTGCATAGGATACAGAGAATTGTTTTAATGCAACATCTTTTTGTAAGTGCATTTTAGAATATCTTAAATAAAAACACTTAAAAATGTCAAATAAAATTGTTCTATGATGAAACTGAATTGTTTGCTGGTTCTCAAGAAAGATTAGTATTTTGTATTAATGCTTCTTCTAACATCTCAAAACAGGTACTTATTATCCAAATAGAGGAAAATCTATGTTACTTAACATTAAGACATTCCTTGATCTAATGCATAAAAAATGTTTGGGAGCAATGACAATCATTGATATCACTTCAGATGTAATTTTTCTGTCAATCAAAATCTATGGTAAATATGATTTCCAGTGTTCCCTAACAGCAAATGTTCACACTAACATTTTGCCACATAACTATCTAGAATACAAAATTTAGTATGAGTTGTTAGTGGTACTGGGAAAGCTAGCTTTCTAGTATAAGGAAAATATAAACTGGGTAGCTAAGTGAGAAAATTATACACTTAATTTGGCTTCAGAATCAAAGGCTGTCAGTGGATAAGGATACTGAAGAGAAGGAAGAAAATTTGTCATATTTGATTATCTTGACAAAGAATAGTATTGGTATAGCCAATCAACCTGCAATCTGATTTGGGCAGGACTCCTCTCATGCACATGTGCAGAGCTATCATAGGTGTCAGTGAAGCTCTTCACAGAAACAGGATTATACCCACAAAAATTATATTGCAGAATCAAGACCACTGCACGTAGAACAACTGTATGGCTTCTGTACAAAAGCATGGTATTTCCAAGAACAGGGTGAATGGGATAGAAAAGCTTCAAGGAGGTAGGATGAGAATGAATACTAGAAGAAAGCTAGAATTGGAAGTGTTGAGATAATGAACACAAATGTTATAAAGAGGGAGAGGAGTGGAGATAGTTCTTTCTTAATATATGTTCTTTTCTACAAGAGGAACATGCTGGCAGTAAAGCTGCACATGGGAGTTAAATTTTAAAGTGGGGTATCCCAAATTTGCCTAATGAAAGGACCCACTAATCAGAAGCCTAAGTGTTGAACCTAATTTACATAATAAAGATTTGGTTCTAATCATTTTAGGATATTTTAAAGAACAGGAGCCTAGCCATATTTAGGCACCTGTCTGATCTTCAAAAGTACTGAGCTATCAACACCAACAGCTGCAACTGAAGTCAAGAGGAGCTGTTTAGAGCTCAGTGCTTTCAAAATAAGCCAGGATCCTAAATACAGATTTAGGAGACTATTTTAACTTCTTCTATTAAAAATCTTGACTTAACCATTCAATGCTCTCAATATTGATCTGTTCTAGGCGACTCAGATCAAGATAGAGCATTGGTAAGACCTGCCATTATAATGTTAGCATATTGCACCTTCATATTGAAGATGAGAGTGGGAACAGAAATCTGAGGGCAGCAGCTGATGTGTTCACTGTAGTTGGGCCCAAGGCAAAAGAGAGTCTGAACTGTAAAATGAAATAATAAGTGCTAAGTTTAACTTTTACTTTCATAACAAGTGTCTTTGGACTAAATTTTGAAGTCCTTATTTAACTTTTATTTCAGAGAATTCCAACTGACGCACATTGTCTTTGGTCTTTGTACTTCAGCCTGGAGAACAGGAAAATTAATCTTTTGTTTACAAACATATCTCATTTCACATCTACTACAATTTCTTGTTTTTATGAATTATGAGTCCCTTATATAACTGCTCACAATAGATCATTATTATTTTATTTACTTTAGATCTATATTATTTAATATTAATGTAATTATATGTGGTATTAATTTGATAATTAAAGTTGGAGTCCAAGAATTGGAGTGTGGTCAAACAACAGCACATTTTAAATTGCTGAATTAAAAAAATAATTTCTGAAACTTTAATATGAATATTTGGTTTTTACTCTTCAGACTGGGGTTCTTTTAACTGAAGCACAAAAGAAAGAATCAATTTTACCATTCTGTATTATAACTCTTTAAATGACACATCAATTGACTACTTCAATTAAAAAAAACACAGTTAATATCATAGTTAAAAGCTTGATCTTTAGATGAGATACTACATCTGTCTTTGTAGCACTGGGAATGTCTTACATTATGTATAAAATAAATGCACAGTCACTCAGATTGAGTATGAAACATTTTTTGAAATGGATATTGTGCTATCTTTTATTTTTGCACTACTAATAAAATTATCACACTAATGTTAGTTATTTCACACTAATGTTAGTTATTCCCCCCTTATGCTTCTGAAGAAAACAAAAAAAAACAATATTTATAACAATACCTGTTTCTATAAATGGAAATAATAAATGTGTGAATATTTGGGTTTTTTAGATACCCATTCCATTACCTGATATATATATATATATATATATATATATATCTCAACGACTGCACAATATTTGTGCACCTTTGAGCAATTAGATCAAAAGACTTCAGCTGTAAAACAATACTGTTGAATAGATTACTGCATAATAAATTTTCTTCTTGGACCTCTTCAATTTAAAATTACTGTAATAAAATGTTTTAATAGAACAACGAACACACTAAAACTATGAACTCTAAGAAAGTAAGATTTAGAACTCATCCTGAAAACATGGGTCAAATGGATATTTACATTTTTTTCATGATATTAGAAGTAAGGCTGTAATAACAGAACACAAGGCCTTTTCTGGTTATCTTTGCAGTCAGAAGAATGCTTACAAAATATTTACAACTGAGCAAATGCTTCCACACAGATGACGCAGTTTTAGGATGTGCCAAAATGCCCATAACATATCTACTCAGATAAATTCTAACACCTAAACCAAATATAAAAACAACTGGGCAGATGCTCATCAGGTGTAGATTGTCTCAATGGAGCAATGAGAATTTAAACCAGTTGAAGATCTGCCCCAATAGAATGAGCTGATATCCTCAAGAACCCAAGTTATATTTACATTTTGACAAACTCTTTAAAAATGACAGTTGTTGGGTTATCACAAACATTTTTTACAAGAGGTATAAATCATGTTTATGTGTGATCTTGTTCTGTTCAACAATGGTGCAAAACTGCTTTAGTCTTGGAGTGTTACTAAGACAGTAAATAAAATAATATACTATGTGCCTGACTCTCCATTTATTGCAATGTTAATCATTTGGAGTTAAACCAGTTTAAGAAAGATCTAAATCAAGCCCAGCACAATATAAAAAGCCCATTGTGTGCTAGAGTGGATATTAAATAAGACTGAATACTATCTATGTATATGTCTGTTACTGCTATATATCATGCCCACTCTTCAAGACCTTCACTTGATACAAAACTAAAACAGAATACTACAATCACAGTTGGAAAGTCACTATCAAGCCACTCCAAATTAAAAAAAGTTTAAAGGTAGAGATGAAGGCTTTCACTACTACAGAAACAATAAGCCACGGCTTGCACTCATATTAACTACAGTTTTAATCGATCAGGAATTTAAAATGTAATAATATAGATGGAATCCTTATAAAGGAAGGCAAAGGCAGGGGAGGAGCAATTATTAATTCCTTGCAGTTGAGGAGAAAATTGTATTCCATCTCAACACATGATATAGGCTGTCAATGAGTTTTTAATCATGCATAGCCAGTAGAAAATAATTATATTTAAGTGCAAGGTGAAGGTTTTCAGTTGTCTTAAAATATAGATAATTACGTATTTTTTACTCATTTTCTATATCTAAAATCATATAATAAACAAGAATGTATTGTATACTATATTTAAGAACAGTGTCAGCCTCAGATAAAGGTAAGGAATTATAAACCAATGGTCCAAATTTTATTCTTAAAATTCTTATTGCAAAGTAACTAAAATTACACCTAAGCAAGAATTTTGATTTGATTTGATTTCAACAACAAAAAAGTTACACAAACTAAGCATGACATGAAAAAATACTGTTATGTTTAAATAATAATATGTAAAATAATTGGTAATCAAATACAGTATATGCTGTCAGTCTACAAGAAAATGGCTCAAATGTTGAAAATGTCTGTTGTAATTTATCTAATACAAAAGGAATTTTAATTTTTTCTATAATACAAATATGCTGTTTTTCAAACTACTTTAATAAATAGTGGATATACAATAGCCTGTATATCACAAATTTCAAGTCTGTCACCTAAATATACATTAATTGATAAAGGAAACCATGATTTTATCCGGCATATCCTGTGTTTGCTGACATGAACTGCAAGACTTCTTTTTATTCCTTTTAGAAAAAGAAAGGGCGTTTTAACATAGGCATACTCGGTTAATGATGAGTTACAAAATTACATACCCTGCATCTTCTAGACATATTAGCATGGTAGACATCTAAAATTCTATTTAACAGAGTCTGTAGAAGAAGGTGGAGTGAGAATTGTATCTTCCATTCTGTAATCTTTTCTAGGATGAAAGTGAGGGCTTCGTGTATATCGAGGTTTCAAACTCAAAGATGAAGGATGTGAAAAATTTCTTCTCACAGAATGTAACCTTGGTTCCTAAAAAGAGGGAAAAATACTGTTGTCTTTTCTCTGCATATTTAAAAATGGTGTTTTATTTACTATACTAAACATGTAGTGGGAAAGATCCAATTTAGGATATATATGTACCGCTAGTTTGAATATGGGTGAGCATTTCCAATTTGGAAGATAAGGATCTTAGGTAGCTGCAAGACTTGTTCACATGGATAGTCAATGGTACATGTGAAGGGACTACTCACATGCTTAAAGTTAAACATACGCATAAGTATTTGCAGGAACTGGGCTTTAATGTATTTGAGTAGTTTTTTAATATGTAAAGACAATAGAGGAAAAATACTTTGTAAATTTCCTATTTTCCCTCTTATAGCATAATTCATGATTCAAATACCATTTTTATAATGTATGTAACAATTGATCTCTCAGCCTCATGCAAGGCTCCCTCTAATCACTTAGGATTATACCACAAACTGTAAGAATGTAGAATTTCCACAGATACCAATGAGAGTTCAATGTGCACATGTAGATACAAGGGTAGATCTTCAATTGGTTAAATCAAGACAGCTTCATTGACTTCCGTGGAGTGACATGATTTACACCAACTGAAAGACATATTCCACAATTTGGGGGAAATATCCTTACCCTATCACACAGGGTATCAGACGCTATCTGTTTACAAATAAGATGAATACATTTAAATGCATTCATATTTAGCTGCTTTCATGCCAAAGCACTTTACAAACAAACTCACAAGAATCTAACTGCAGCGGAATTGTAATAGTATGTAGCATGGCAGAACAATAGTTTAGGATAAGTTGTGAAAAATACTATATTCAATTGAAACTGAAAGGAGAAACATACGTAAGCAAAATATTATAATCGAAATTGTAATTTTAGCTACAATACTAGGATTCCCACATCCATATTTGTGATCAGTGCCATGGGATATTTAATGACCAAAAGTATTCAGTACTTTGATTTACAGCTAAATGTCTACCAGCATAGCTTTCTCTTCTGCCCCTTCACCCCAATGTGCTGAGGTATCACACTCAGGGTGTGTCTGGACTACTGAGTTTTGTCGACAAAAGTGGACTTTTGTCGACAAAACTATACCTGCGTCTACACTACCGCTGAGTTCTGTCGACATAACGTCGACAGAACTCAGCAGTTTTGTCGACGCTGGTAAACCTCATTTTACGAGGCATAACACCTTCTGTCGACAGAGTTCTGTCGAAAGAAGGTGTTATTGCCTGTAGGGTTGCGTCTAGACTACAGGGTTCTGTCGACAAAGCAGCTTGCTTTGTCGACAGAACTGAATGTGTCTAGACACTTTATGTCAACAGAAGTTTTGTCGTCAGTATCTGTCGACAAAACTTCTGTCGACAAAACCCGGTAGTCAGGCCTTGTCCAGACTAGTGTGCGAGCCGACAAACAGCTGATCAGCTGTTTGTCGGCTCAGCACTGCAGCCATGTAAATGTAAATGAAGCCGCGATCATTTAAATCGCGGCTTCATTTGCCTTTGCCAAAAAAAAAATCTACATGCCTCTGCCGACAGAGGCATGTAGTTTAGACGTACCCATAGTAACAATAAAACCATATATATTGTTTTTGCTGTTGTAGTGCTTCCATAGAGCTCAAAGTACTTTGCAAGCTTGACTGAATGTCATTACTCCATTTGACCTACAGAATCACCAAATCACAGAGTCATATATGAACGGCCATTCTGGATCAGATTAGCAGTCCATCTGGGCCAATACCTTGTGTCCTGAAAGTGGCCAGTGGGCATCAGAGGGAATGAGCAAAACAGGGCAATTTAGAGTGATCCATTTTCTGTCATCCAATCCCAGGTTCTGGCAGTTGAAGGTTTAGAGCATGGGTTCCCAAACTGGGGATCGTGCCCCCATGGGGGGAGTGAAGAAATTCCAAGGAGGCATGAGGTGACCCAGCCACATACCCCCCATCAATCCCACCCCAAGTTTTGCTGCTATTTTGGGGGGAGGAAGGGCTTGAGGGTTTCTCGAAAATCAGAAAGGGGGGGCGTGATGCCAAAAAGTTTGGGAACCACTGGTTTAGAGATACCTGAAGCATGGAGTTGTATCCCTGACCATTTTAGCTAAAAGCCATTGATTAACCGATCCTCCTTGAACTTATTTAATTCTTTTTTGAGCCTGGTTATGCTTCTGGCCTTCACAACATCCCCCAGCAACAGGTTTCACAGCTTGTGCACTGTGTGGAGAAGTACTTCCTTGTTCTTTTAAACCTGTTGCCTGCTAATTTCATTGGGTGACTCCTAGTTCTTGTATTATGTGAAGGGATAAATAGCACCGTCTTATTCACTTTCTCCTTATCATTCATGATTTTATAGATTTCTATCCTATCCCCCCTTCATTGTGTCTCTTCTAAAATGAACAAAATCTTTCTTTTAATTTCTCCTTGTATGGAGGCTGTTTATTTTTGCCGCCTTTTTTCTGTACCTTTTCCAACTCTAATATATCTTTTTTGAGATGGGGCAAGCAGAACTTCATGTCATATTCAAGTGTAGACATGGATTTATACAGTGGCATTATATATTTGTGTTTTATTATCTACACCTTTGTTAATGGTTCCTAGCATTCTTCTAGCTTGAGTGCCACTAAACACAGCAGATGTTTTTAGAGAACTAGCCACTGTGACAACAAGATCTCTTTTTGTGTGATAACAGTTAATTTATACCCTATGGCTGCGTCTAGACTGGCAAGTTTTTCTGCAAAAGCAGGTGCTTTTGCGGAAAAACTTGCCAGCTGTCTACACTGGCCGCATGAATTTGTGCAAGAACGCTGACGATCTAATGTAAGATTGTCAGTGTTCTTCTGCAAATACTATACTGCTCCCGCTCGGGAAAAAGCCCTCTTGCACAAATGTTTTTGCGCAAGAGGGCCAGTGTAGACAGCTAAAAACTGTTTTGCGCAAAAAAGCCCCGATGGTGAAAATGGCGATCGGGGCTTTCTTGCGCAAAACCGTGTCTAGATTGGAATCAAAAAGTGCTTTTGCGGAAATGCGTCCTGCCAATCTAGATGCGCTTTTCCGAAAATGCTTTTAACAGAAAACTTTTCTGTTAAAAGCATTTGCGGAAAATCATGCCAGTCTAGATGTAGCTTATCAGTTTGTATGTATAGTTGGGATTATTTTTTTCCAGTGTGCATTACTTTGCACTTGACAACATTGAATTTCATCTGCCATTTTGTTGCCCAAGCACTGAGTCATTTGTGAAATTCCTTTTGTAACTCTCTGCAGTTAGCTTTCAACTTAACTGTTTTGAGTAATTTTGTACTGTCTGCAAATTTTGCCACTTCACTGCTGACCTTCTTTTTCCAGATCATTTATGAATCTGTGGAACAGTCCGGCCCCAGTACTGATCCTTGGAGGACTCTGATATTTAGCACTTTCCATTGTGAAAACTGACCATTTTCCCTACTTTTTCTTTCCTATCTTTTAACCAGTTAACCAGTAGGAAGGACCTACTCTTATCCAATGTTCCCTCTAATCTTTTCCATCTGCATGTTGATTTTTTTCCTTCATGCGTGGAATACATGTTTCTATTTGCACTAAGGATATGAATGGGTAACCAGTTAACTGTTTACTCAGTAAGCATCATCCTTAATGGATAATGCTTATTGGGTACCAGTTAACCGGTATTCAGGAGCAGCTCCTCACCCAAGGCCCACCGTGGGTGAAAGACTGCTCCAGCCCTATGGGGGTCAGGAGCTGACCCCTCCACACACTGGGGAGGGGGTTTTTGGAGCAGAAGCTGGTTGCCCCGCACACAGTGAGGCTGGTAGCAGAAGTCACCCCCAGCGCTTGGGGCTGCCAGCTCCTATTGCCATCCCCCCCCAGTGTGGGTTCCCATTTAATTAGTTAACTGGTTAAACCCAAGGTTAACTGATTAACTAGAATTTTACTTCCTCAATTTGCAAATGTGCACCACCAGTAGAAACAAAAACTTAGTTGTGGGCATGCTGCTTATCAGCTAGGCAGGGAACAGTCCCATGGGAAATCTCCACACCCAAGCCATTCTATCCCATGATTGCTTACTTTGCTTAAGAATCTTTGGTGAGGGATGCTGACAAAGACTTCTGAAAGCCCAAGAACACTATATCAACTATATCATCCTTGTCAACATGCTTATTGACACCTTCAAAGAATTCTAATAGACTGGTAAGGCATGATTCTTCCGTAATACATTACATTTATCTATGTGTCTGTTAAATCTGTTCTTTACTATAGTTAAAGAATTTGCCTGGAACTGAAATTACTTCAGGTTTATCACCTGTAAATGCAAGATCAATTCTGGAGTTTCTTTAAAAAATGTGGTGTTATATTAGCTACCCTCCAGTCATCGGTATAGAAGATGGTTTAAATGATCGTTTACATACCACAGTTATTAGTTCTGCTATTTTTATATTTAATTCTTTCAGAATGCTTGAGTGAATATTATGTGGTCCTGCTAACTTACGACTGCTTAATTTATCAGTTTTGTTCCTAAACTTTCTCTGTTGATTCTTGAGCCTGGGACTGGTCCTAAGATCTGCTACCTAAAAAGAATGGCTTGGGTGTGGAGATTTCTCTCATATCCTCTACAGTGAAGATGGATAAAAAGAAACTTCACAATGGCCTTGTCTTCTTTGACTGCTCCGTCAGCACCTTTATTGGCTGACGGTACCGCTAACTGTTTGGCAGGCTTCCTATTAGTAGTGTGATGGGTGGTACTTCCCACAATAGTCCTGAAAGAACCGAATTAGGTCAGGGAAGGTCAATCAACCAATTAAGCTGCAAATGTGGGAGATGTAGGCTGAGGAAACTCACCTGTGAAGGATCAGGTGGGGAGCTTATCTAAAGCCAAGAGGTTGACATCAATGCAAGCCTCAGATAAGACAGTAGGAAGAGGAGACGGGAACCCATAAGGAAGGATTTACTTAGTAGCCCTTAAAGAGAAGAGTCTGACTAGAATGTCTGATAGAGAAGCTTATAGCATGGTAGGAAA